TGTGCAGGCTTGTAGCCTCAGCCTGCTACATTGTAGTAACACCATGTGCAGGCTTGTAGCCTCAGCCTGCTACATTGTAGTAACACCATGTGCAGGCTTGTAGCCTCAGCCTGTACATTTTTGTAACACCATGTGCAGGCTTGTAGCCTCGGGCCTGCTACATTGTAGTAACACCATGTGCAGGCTTGTAGCCTCAGCCTGCTACATTGTAGTAACACCATGTGCAGGCTTGTAGCCTCAGCCTGCTACATTGTTAGTAACACCATGTGCAGGGCTTGTAGCCTCAGCCTGCTACATTGTAGTAACACCATGTGCAGGCTTGTAGCCTCAGCCTGCTACATTATAGTAACACCATGTGCAGGCTTGTAGCCTCAGCCTGCTACATTATAGTAACACCATGTGCAGGCTTGTAGCCTCAGCCTGCTACATTATAGTTGTATAGTAACACCATGTGCAGGCTTGTAGCCTCAGCCTGCTACATTATAGTTGTATAGTAGCACCATGTGCAGTCTTGTAGCCTCAGCCTGCTACATTATAGTAACACCATGTGTAGGCTCGTAGCCTCAGTCTGCTACATTAGTAACATCATGTGTAGGCTTGTAGCCTCAGTCTGCTACGTTATAGTAACACCATGTGCAGGCTTGTAGCCTCAGTCTGCTACATTATAGTTGTATAGTAACACCATGTGTAAGCTTCTAGCCTCAGTCTGCTACATTATAGTAACACCATGTTCAGGCTTGTAGCCTCAGCCTGCTACATTAAAGTTCTTTAGTAACACCATGTTCAGGCTTGTAGCCTCAGTCTGTTACATTATATTAACACCATGTGTAGGCTTGTAGCCTCAGCCTGCTACATTATAATAACACCATGTGTAGGCTTGTAGCCTCAGTCTGCTACATTATAGTAACACCATGTGCAGGCTTGTAGCCTCAGCCTGCTACATTATAATAACACCATGTGTAGGCTTGTAGCCTCAGTCTGCTACATTATAATAACACCATGTGTTGGCTTGTAGCCTCAGTCTGCTACATTATAGTAACACCATGTGTAGACTTGTACCTCAGCCTGCTAAAATTATGTAACACCTTGTTTTGGTTGTGCCTCAGCTGCTAATTATGGTAACCCCAGTGTGGCTTGAGCCTCAGTCTACACTTATAGTATATTTTATGCCTATGTGGGTTTTGCTCAGCCTGTTTTTTAATAACCCCCATGTGAGGCTTGTAGCATCAGTCTGCTATATTTAGTAAAGGCCCAAAAACATTGTATCAATCCCCTTCAAAAAAAAATGACAGGATGGATAAGAGAACCTTCAAAAAAAAGGGATGCCAAACCCTGATGACACTCTTCAGGGACTTTTTCTATCTGGCGGAATATTGCTTTCACACTAACAGCCCTTTTTAAGGCAGGTGAAATTTCTGACCCAGAAAAATAAGAAAAACTTCCCGCGCGCATAACGGGGTTTAAAAAAACCTCATTACTGGGGGCGCTGGAAGTTCCCAACCTGTATCCTGGGAAGAGGCGGGAGGTATTGATTTTTAACACCCGGGAAAAATTTTGAGGGACTAGACCGAACTTGACACGAAAATCACTCAAAAGACTGGCTGATGTGAAATCCCCCAAAGAAAAGCAGGGTGTCACTAGACATTTAAAAGGCCAAAAATCCATAAGTGTTGGGGGCCCGATGTTCAACGCCTTCCAGATCATAAAAGGGGGAATTCCCAATAGACCTGGCTATCTTCAGCTGGCATGCAAGCACCAAAGTCGGGGACCCTGACCAATGGGGTGTGGGTTTGTAAGTTGGATTGCGTGCCGCCACAAAAAAGCCCGGTTTATCAGGCCCTACCCCCCAGGGGTGGTCTCGACCAGGCCCTGGGGGGGGTTGACCCCTGGAACTCTCTCCAGGTGAATTCCAAGTACTCCAGGTATAGTAACACCATGTTTAGGCTTGTAGCTTCAGTCTGCTACATTTTAGTAGTATAATAACACCATGTTTAGGCTTGTAGCCTCAGTCTGCTTTCATGGTAAGGTAAACTTTTTTCTATAATACATATTTGCATATTTTTGTATTATATATAGTAATATTATTATATTATATTAAGACTTTCTAACAAGTTATGGGTAAGTTTATTCAGGTACACACGAATACGTAGTTACATAAATTATAATAATACACGTCTGCCATCGCAAATCTGGCATCATTGGGACCTGTAGTGTGCCGAATTATTGAGTCTGCCGGATTGCAGAGTGGTTAAGTTAGAATAGTCTTAATAAAGTTAACCAACTTGACTTACACAAGAAAGTTCATTGAACATCGGCAAAAACTGAACATTTCTGCTACATTGAGCTCAATTTCAAGATAACTTTTAGTTGTGAAAGCAATCAAGAACATATCTATTTCAGTAATATTTATTTATTTATTTATTTATTTATTTATTTATTTATTTATTTATTAATTTGAACATGATACAGTGAAGTACAAAAGAAAACAGTTAAATGCAGCATGCCAAAGCCACTTGAATGCATAGCATTACGGGCAGGCTTAAAATTAACTTAAGATTAACTAAGCAATGAATTATTCAGTGGTAAAACATTATTGCAAACAGATAACAATTAAGCACAAATGAGTATTACAAAAACAGGTCGTATGGTTGCATGCATTGCTGTACAAACAGTATTTATTTATTTATTTATTTAATTTGAACATGATACAGAGAAGTACAAGGAATACAATTTTTAAAGTGCAACATGCCAAAGCCCCTTGTATGCAGAGCATTATGGGCAGCTTAAAATTAACTTAAGATTAACTAAGCAATGATACATTCAGTGGTACAAAAATTATTGTAAAACAGATAACAATTTAGTACAAATGAGTATTACAGAGACAGGTCATATGGTCATTTACTGTGTTGCTGTGTAATCAGTAGAATGGAGTATTCTGTTAGGTAATGAAGTTAAATAGTAACAAAGTTTGATTTGGTCACAGGTTGACATTTATGAGATACAATAATGAGATACCTATATGAGATACAATTTATGAGATACAATTATTCAGAATTGATTTAGTTGTGGGTGAGTAAGTGATTTTTGAGAAGCGACTTGAATTTATAAACAGACAGTGTTTCTTTTATATTCACAGGTAATGAATTCCAGATTTTAGGGCCTTTTATGTGCATTGAGTTTTTGCATAGCGTGAGATGGACACGAGGAACATCAAAGAGTGATCTGTGTCTTGTGTTATGGTCATGTGTTCTGTTGAGGTTGGCAAGGAGATGTTTGAGGGGAGGGTTTATGTCAGAGTTAAGTGTTCTATGTATGTAGTAGGTGCAGTAATAAGTATGAATGTTTTGTATTGTGAGTAGATTTAGAGTTTTGAATATTGGTGGAGTGTGCTGTCTGTAGTGGAAATTTATCATTCTGACTGCAGCCTTTTGTTGGGTGATTAGTGGTATGAGATGGTTTATTGTTGTTGAGCCCCATGCACAAATTCCATAGGTGAGATAGGGGTAAATAAGTGAGTGATATAGGGCCAGGAGTGCTGACTGTGGAACACAGTACCGTATCTTCGATAGTAGGCCTACGGCATACTATCGCTGTCAAATGAGGCCAAAAAACAAGAATACTACCATAAAAACCGTACGAAAATATACTGTTAATGGGCGGCTAATGGCTGAGAAATGAACTGTTATTTATGGTCTGATTTCTTTCATTTTTGGTGTACATTAAGAAGTATCTTTCCATCATACATGCCCAAGTTTCAGTAAAATAGCCCAGGAAACAATTGAGGAAAATTTTTTTTTTTTTTTTTTTTTATTATCACACTGGCCGATTCCCACCAAGGCAGGGTGGCCCGAAAAAGAAAAACTTTCACCACCATTCACTCCATCACTGTCTTGCCAGAAGGGTTCTTTACACTACAGTTTTTAAACTGCAACATTAACACCCCTCCTTCAGAGTGCAGGCACTGTACTTCCCATCTCCAGGACTCAAGTCCGGCCTGCCGGTTTCCCTGAACCCCTTCATAAATGTTACTTTGCTCACACTCCAACAGCACGTCATGTATTAAAAACCATTTGTCTCCATTCACTCCTATCAAACACGCTCACGCATGCCTGCTGGAAGTCCAAGCCCCTTGCACACAAAACCTCCTTTACCCCCTCTCTCCAACCTTTCCTAGGCCGACCCCTACCCCGCCTTCCTTCCACTACAGACTGATACACTCTTGAAGTCATTCTGTTTCGCTCCATTCTCTCTACATGTCCGAACCACCTCAACAACCCTTCCTCAACCCTCTGGACAACAGTTTTGGTAATCCCGCACCTCCTCCTAACTTCCAAACTACGAATTCTCTGCATTATATTCACACCACACATTGCTCTCAGACATGACATCTCCACTGCCTCCAGCCTTCTCCTCGCTGCAACATTCATCACCCATGCTTCACACCCATATAAGAGCGTTGGTAAAACTATACTCTCATACATTCCCCTCTTTGCCTCCAAGGACAAAGTTCTTTGTCTCCACAGACTCCTAAGTGCACCACTCACTCTTTTCCCCTCATCAATTCTATGATTCACCTCATCTTTCATAGACCCATCCGCTGACACGTCCACTCCCAAATATCTGAATACATTCACCTCCTCCATACTCTCTCCCTCCAATCTGATATCCAATCTTTCATCACCTAATCTTTTACCAAAAATCATATATGACAAGCCCAAGTCAGGTACTAGAAATAAGTCACTTTGTCTGAATTTTTTGGGTCATCCTAGGTTCTCTACTCGTCAGTCCTTATCAGCCTGATCAGAAGGTCAAAAAATTGTATTATGAGAACAGATTACATAACATAAAAGGTGATATGAAAAAGACCTGGAAAACACTATCTGAAATTCTAGGAGCTAAAAAGATATCCTAAAACAAAGCAGTCAAATTAGCAAAAACAGATGACCCCTACTCCCACCAACTGAAACAGCAAACACTTAATGTTTTCTTCTCCACCATAGGAAAGAATCTAGCAAGCAAAATCCCAAGCTCAAACACCCATACAACAGACTTCCTCGTGCGTACCTACCTGAATACACTATTCCTAGCTCCAACCAACCCAAGAGAAGTCTCATTCATCATCAACACCCTTAAAAACAAAGTAGGAGATATAAATAACTTATGTACCACCTTGTATGTACAAAAAAGCTTCTCATGTACTGTCAACAATTATTGCAACACTCTTTAACAAATCCATTGAATCCTCCACCTTCCCATCAATTCTCAAAATAGCGAGGGTCACCTTGATCCACAAAGGAGATCAAACAGACTTGAATAACTATAGTTCAATATCTAACTTACTTCTGCTCTCTAAAATTTTTGAAAAATTATTTCATAGGCAGATCTATTCCTACCTCGTCTCGTAAGACATACTCAGCCCCTCTCAGTTTGGATTCAGGACTAATAAAAGCACAAATGATGCTATTGTACACATGCTAGAACTAATATACACCACTCTCGAGAAGAAAGAAGTCCCGCTGGGAATCTTTATTGATTTATGTAAAGCTTTTGATACAGTCAACCCTGATTTGCTGCACATCAAATTAACACATTATGGTATAAGAGGATACTCCCTCAACTACCTAAAGTCGTACCTAAGTAACAGAAGGCAATATGTGTACACAAGTGGAGTTAATTCTTCCACACAACCAATTACAGTTGGTGTCCCACAAGGAAGTGTCCTTGGCCCACTCCTCTTTCTCATTTACATCAGTGACCTACCAATTGCATCACAACTACTCAAACCCATTTTTTTGCAGATGACACAACATAAGTCTTCTCTCACCCAAACCCAGTTATACTGGCAAACACTGTTAATGCCGAATTGCAGAAAATATCTACCTGGATGATGACTAACAAGCTTACACTGAATACTGACAAAACCTATTTCATTCAATTTGGAAACAGAGCCACAAATGTTCTACTTAACATAGCGCTAAATGGATCACCCATCACAAGATGCACAGAGGGAAAATTCCTAGGAATCCACCTTGACATTAGCATTAAATTCCAGACCCATATACAACAAATTTCTAAGTAAATCTCTAAGACAGTAGGCATACTATCAAAGATATGGTACTATGTTCCACAATCAGCTCTCCTTGCACTGTATCACTCGCTCATCTACCCTTATCTCACCTATGGAATTTGTGCATGGGGATCAACATCATCAAATTATCTAAGACAATTAATAACTCAGCAAAAGGCTGCAGTCAGAATAATTTCCCACTTCAGACAACATACTCCACCAATATTTAGAAGTCTACAACTACTCACCATAAAGAACATGCTCACTTAATCTTGTGCCTACTACATACAAAGAACACTACACTCAAACATAAACCCATCACTCAAACTTCTCCTCACTAACTTTAATAGGACGCATGACCATAGCAAAAGACACAGCACTTTTTGATGTACCCCGTGTCCACATCACACTATGTAAGAACTCTATGCACATAAATGGCCCCGAAATTTGGAACTCATTACTAGTAAATACTAAAGTAACCCAGTCTCAACATCAATTTAACCCTTTGAAGGTTTCGGCCATACTAGTACGGCTTATGACCCAGGGTTTTTTACGTACTAGTACGCCTAAATTCTAGCGCCCTCAAATCTAGTGGGAGATAGCTGGTAGGCCTACATATGAAAGAATGGGTTTACATGGTCAGTGTGCACAGTATAAAAAAAATCCTCCAGCACACAGTGCATAATGAGAAAAAAAAAAATGACCGTTTTTTTGGAATAAAATAGCGACTTTGCACTGTATTTTCGTATGGTATTTATTGTTGTATTCTAGTTTTCGTGGTCTCAGTTTATAGAATGGAAGACATATTACAGAAATTGAGATGATTTTGACTGGTTTTACAATGAAAAGTACCTTGAAATTGAGCTCAAAGTAGCAGAAATGTTCAATTTTTACCAAAGTTCAAAAGTAAACAAATCATGCCAAGCGTCCAATACACGTCAACTGGTGAGTCTAATATTCTTTTGCAAGTGCACCAATATTATTTATACCATTTTTTACACTAATGCAGTAGTCTGCATAACAGTAAATCTTCTATTTTTTGTGAGAATAAAAATTCGAAGTGGAAAGCAAATGAATGTAAGAGGGGCCTTGAGACGTGACTAATGAACAGAGGAAATGTCATTTTAGTGCCAGGAATGTCTTTCTTGTTTATTCTGGACCCTATTCGGAAATTGGCATTTTTTGAAATTTGTGTGAAATTGGCAAAATTGCTAAATTCTGACCACTGTACTGGATAGTTGAAATTGGTAAATGGGTGATTTCTTGCACTCATTCGATAGAAAAAATGGAGTTCTAGCGAAATATTCATGTTTTTTGTCGACTAGTACAGTGGAATTGGCCGAAAATGGGGCTCAAAGTGGGCAAAATCGCCGATGCGTAAACATCGCCGAGACCGCTAACTTCGCGAGAGCATAATTCCGTAAGTTTTCCATCAAATTTCATACTTTTGGTGTCATTATGATCGGGAAAAGATTCTCTATCTTTTCATAAGAATTTTTTTTTTTTTTTTTAAATTTGGCCGACCCTGAGAACGAGTCTCGGAGAGGGCCTGTCGAACCTCAAAGGGTTAAACTCTCTTCTCAAAAACCATTTACTCACCCTAAACTAAATATTCAATATACAATACTTAAATTTGCCAAAGGATCTCCCAGTTACCCAAATCTTAACACTTCAAAATTTAAATACCCAAAGGTCATACATAACTTAATACTACATTGTAGTATAAATACCTGCACAAAACTATACTGCCATACACCATATTGTAACATTCTCATACTGTAAACTACTTTGACCAACCCTCAATATTATATTCCAATAATATAACTTAATACATGTATTAACTATTGATATACACAACCTACAAAATACTTTCAAATTGCCCGAATGTAATATCCCCTGATTGTAACTTGAGTTAAATTACTGTCTGCTTTAAATAAAAACAGATGTACAAACTTTGATCAATTTCTGTAGTAATAAGTAGTCTGTAAGCCATTGATTTAGTCTGCCCATAATGCCAATGCATGATAGTGGCTCTCTTTGCACTGCAAATCATTATTGTAACTACAGAATCTCAATGTAAACTTGCAAAGATATAAAATTTTTATTGTATTGTATGCTGCTATGTATGATCGTCTATGTAGAGAAAATAGTTTTTTGTTTGTTTTATGGTGCATTACAAATGTATATTGCAGATAGCCCTGTGCTGTACTCTGTTTTCTCTAATATAAGCCACCAAGATGAATAGAGGATGCTACTTGTATCCCATATCCTCTTTATACCTCCGTTGAACTGCTCGGTGTTATGCCAAATATTATTCATTCTGGAGTACAGTGGACTCTCAACCAACGATGGCATTGTATAACGTTAAATCTGACTAACGATACATTTTAACGCAAAAATTTTGCCTCGACTAGCGCTAAAAAACTCGACCAACGCGATTCATTCAGTTCGAGACGCATCCACGTGTGGCCTGCGCAGTGTTTACAAGCCAGCCACTGCAGTCGCATCCAAACATACAATCGGAACATTTCATATTATCACAGCGTTTTTAGTGATTGCACCTGCAAAATAAGTCACCATGGGCCCCAAGAAAGCTTCTAGTGCCAACTCTGTGATAAAAAGGGTGAGAATTAGTATGGAAATTAAGAAAGATTTTGAAGGGTTTGGGGCTAACCCTGAGACACCTATGCCAGTTGGGGAATTCATTGTGCCTACTTCAAAGATTAAGGAAATGTGTGCAAAGTGGGTTGAACCTGCAAACCTTTATGGATGAAAATCACCCTAACACAGCTATTGCAAGCCATGCTGGTGACTATTACAATGACAGTGTTGTGGCCCACTTTAGACAAATCTTAAAGGAACGGGAGGTACAGAGCTCTATGGACAGATATGTTGTGCGACAGAGGTCCAGTGGCTCTCAAGCTGGTCCTAGTGGCATTAAAAGAAAAAGGGAAGTAACCCCGGAAAAGGACTTGGCGTGCATAACGGAGATAAAACACCTCAATTATTGGGAGCGCTTGAGGTTCCTAAACCTGTATTCCCTGGAACGCAGGAGGGAGAGATACATGATTATATACACCTGGAAAATCCTAGAGGGACTAGTACCGAACTTGCACATGAAAATCACTCACTACGAAAGCAAAAGACTTGGCAGACGATGCACCATCCCCCCAATGAAAAGCAGGGGTGTCACTAGCACGTTAAGAGACCATACAATAAGTGTCAGGGGCCCGAGACTGTTCAACTGCCTCCCAGCACACATAAGGGGGATTACCAACAGACCCCTGGCAGTCTTCAAGCTGGCACTGGACAAGCACCTAAAGTCAGTTCCGGATCAGCCGGGCTGTGGCTCGTACGTTGGTTTGTGTGCAGCCAGCAGCAACAGCCTGGTTGATCAGGCTCTGATCCACCAGGAGGCCTGGTCACAGACCGGGCCGCGGGGGCGTTGACCCCCGGAACTCTCTCCAGGTAAACTCCAGGTAAACCTCAAGTCCTAATGGAAGGGGATTCCCCTTCTAAACACTAACACCATCCACACACTCCCCTCCTCCCATCCCATCAATCATCACCAGATCTTCAATAAAGGTAAGTGTCATGTAATTGTTCATGTCTTCTTCAGTTTGTGTGTATTAAAATTAATATTTCATGTGATAAAAAATTTTTTTTTCAATACTTTGGGGTATCAGGAACGGATTAATTTGATTTCCATTATTTCTTATGGGGAAAATTAACTCAACTAACGATAATTTCGACTAACAATGAGCTCTCAGGAATGGATTTATATTGTTGGTCGAGGGTCCACTGTGTAATGTTTTTGTTATTGATATTGTTTATTATGTCATTAGATCATTTGTGATAGGTAAATAAGCTGTAGTATTGATATTAGTGTAATAATAAAGCATATTCCCCTGCATCACGAGACTAAGCTTATGGCAACCGACAGTGGCTTCAAAGCCACCTTATCTTTTATGGACAATGTGCTGTGTATGTGCTTTACACAATGAGAAGCATTTCTTTTATTTGTTGGAACCATGGCTAGGGGTAAGCAGGTTATAACAATAAATGGAGAAAAA